CAGTGACCAGAATATTTTTAAACATGTTTTAATTGGCTTTACTTTATTACTATAACACTGTAGCTCTTTTTTGATGTGGTATTGTATCACTATGATGTTTTATTATTCTTTGCATTGTGTTGTAATGCAAATTTTTAAAACTTACTTTTAAAAATTCCCCAACCCCCACTATTTTGGCAGTGATTAGAGAGGCAAGTGGAGTTTAATTTCTTTCTAAAAATTTTATATGACTTTTAAAAACTGGAAATTGTTTTAGTGATAATTTTAAAATTGATTAAATGAACAGGTTATCATAAACAACCATGGCAAAAGCTTTAATGACTTTGTGCTGAATTATGAAAAGTTTACTAGTACATCACTGCCTATATTAAAAGCTCACCCTTTAGAAGAAGAAGAAAAAGAAGACGAAGAGCATTAAAGGCATCTACACTTGTGGAAATTGTGTTCCTCCTCTGTTTAAATAAAAACTGATCGGCTTTCTGCAATCTGAGAAAAGGAAAAAGAACCGCACAGAAAATACAAAATGGCAATGATTGAAAGGCTGCATCTTATAGATAGCCCATAAAAGCAAGCAAATAAAATGACAAGTAAATCCCCAGTGCGGAAGCGCTCCCCAATTAGTGCATTAGCAGAACTGACTCAGAAGCATCTGACTCAGAGTGCCCTCTGTGAAAAATGAGCTAATCCAGCATATGTAGTGCAAGTGCATTGCCATCCCTAAACTGCCTTTGTACTGTTTACATTTATGCTACTTTTGCAGGATTATTAAAGAACAAGGTGCAGTTAGCAAGTCCCCAAAATAAAGAATTTTCTCATCCTTTATCCCAAGGCTTTTCTCTGCCTCTTAGTACTTCAGGGGCATTAGAGTGACCATAGTGCTGACAGCATTATTTCAGTAGCCCATAAAAACATGAGGCTAGTCTCATTTTATAGATAAGAAATCAAACTGGTGAAGCAGCTAGGACATGTGGCCGTACAGTTGATGCTACAGCTAGGCACCTATTAAACTTTTTATTCAAGTCTTATTATGAGCATAATGTTGTATGTTAGAGAGAGAGAAAGAGAGCGAGAGAGAGAGAATATCCATTGAAATTAATAAAACCAATATAGAACTTTGACTCTTCATCATAAGGAGAATTTCAATATGTTTATCTTTAATTATGCATGTGCAAACAGGAAAATCAGTTCTTTTGAAAATCCCGAAGGATATATTTTCTGCTTGGTATAATTTTAATTCTAGTTTAGTTAGTTGAGAGATTTGTATAATTTGTTACTGGCTTCAGGAGAAATGCAGGGATGCCAGTTTGGTTCTTGATCAGCAAACAGATGTAATTGATTTGCTGGTGCCACCATTTATTTATTTATCTATTTATTTATTTTTCTTACTTTCAGAGCTTTATACATCTGAGAGTGGCATGGCTGAAACTGAATTCCCACCTCCTTTGCCTCCACATCCAAGTGATGAGCTGCTCACAGATTATAATAATAGGTTTGAAGATGTGTTTTATATTTATGATTTTATTCCTGGTTGGGAAAAACATTGCATTAGGTTGAATTTACACCGGAATCAATTTATGTGTTACTTAGAATAAGTCTCTCTAACCAGATGTCCTCCAGATGTGCTGGACCTCATTGCCCATAATTCCTAGCCTCCAACTACAGTCCATCAAAGAGTGATTTAGTCATACAGTTTTCCCCTTCCTCCTTCCTCCCTCCCTTCCTTCCTTCCTTTTTCAGATTTTACTTGTAGTTACAACAGTAGTTTGTTACTATTCCCATTTCACTGCTGCTGCAGATAATAATCCATAAGGACAGTTGGAGCTGAGCTATTCTTCAAAATTATAATCCAGTTGATTAATTTACCGGGCTGTTATGGCTCTTGATAATAATTGTTTCCCCCGATTAAAGATATTCTTAGAGTGGGGAGAAGAGAGAAAGGAGGAGGCAAGTGCCTGGGACTAGAAAGAGAATGAGCAAAGGACAAAGGTTGTCTGGGCACAAAATTTGACAAGACCAGGAAGCAACTCCTTCCTCCTCCTTCACCTAACTTCTGATTAGTGACAGTTTGAAGAACGGGGAAAAACATTAACATTTTGTAACTTTAAAAATAAAAGAAATACACATTTCTGATGAAGATAGGAGCAGAGCTTTAGTGATGCATTGGTGGCTCCAGTGGTAGCCGCATCAGGACCCTGCACTGCAGCCTCATTGTAGTTGGTGAAGCTTGTCTAAATCTGGCCAAATGGTCCTCTGGTGCCAAGTTTTCTTAGCATATATTGCAGAGTTGTGGTTGCGCCTGGGTTGGCAGGTAGGTAGTTTGTGCAAGTTATCCATCCTTTTCTCATGGGGATAGGATCAATCATGTGCATGTGTGTCCGTAGAGGGAGAGAGTTGGAGAGAGGGATGGTGGTTTGCCATAGAAATGGGTGGAAAAATATGAAACATTTTTCAAATCTGCAGTTTGTGGCATGTAGGTTTGTTAATTATTTAATTGTCTCATTTGAAAGGAAAGGCATTTCAGGAATTTGGCTTTGATTTTCCTGCAAAGTATGTTTCTTTACTTGTTGGGTTGGTAGTCATGTTCTTCAACTGGGGAACTGTACTGCACCTAGCAGTTTTAATTGATTGCACCCTTGATTATACAAATAATGATGCTGATGATGTTGGTGTTAGATGGGAGTACTTTATCTGATAAAAGTCTGAATAGACCTTTAATGTGATCACCAGGTAGATGGAAAAGGTGAAAGCCAGTGCTTTCTGCTCTGCTTATAGTTGTCTTCAGTAAAAAAAAAAATTAATAGAGGCAATAGCACATGAAGGAAGCTTAAATGACTTATAATAACTGAGAAGAGGGAAATGGATAGGGTATAATTACTTCATTTTGTTTTTGAGCTGGTGCCTATTTTTTTCTGGTATGGCTTCTTTCCATAGCTCAACAACACATTCAGATGCATATTCACCAGATCAGCACATCAACTTCAGAACTCTGACACTGGCCAAGCAGGCGGAATCAATTAATCTGAAAGCTTCCAAAAGCATGGATCTTGGTAAGAAGGGTGGGAAGGCAATAATAATCCTTTTTTGCTTCACCATGCATTTTCTTTCTGAAATACACGTAAATTGGAAGGAAACTGTTATTAAGGCTGAAATACAGAATAATTAGAAAAAAACTGTCCTTGCAATACTGTGTAAATTTTTAAAGATGCAAATCTTACTGCATTGTTTGCAGAAGTTTTCTGCAACCTGTTGCCCTCTAAGCATGTGGGACTTTGGCCACACAGAGTGCAGCTCATGGGAGTCCAGAAGATCTAGAATAGATCAGGTTGGAGAAGCCTGCCTCAGAGAAAATTGTTTGAAAATTGGGCTCTATATAGTAAAAACATCTTACTTTTTGCTCTGTCAATTCTAAGCATAGAAATGCTTGCATGTTTCAGTGAAATACTGAAATTGGCACCTCAAAGATTTGATGCACTGTAATGCCATGAATCATGGTCTTTCTCCACCTGAAATGATGCTTACAGAAGAGGGAAGAAATGGGATTATTAATGATACATGCCACATGACATGGGTAACTTGTCTGTCAATGCAATAAAAAGTCTCTCAGAGACAAAATTACGATGAAGACCTGAGGGAAAAATATCTTTACCAAGTTTATCAGTGGAATGTTTGTTCTGAGTGATATTTTGAGCACATAGAGAACTTTCCTTCTAAGATTTAAGATGTTCTTCTAAGTTTAGGATTGTTTTTAAAATATAGGCAATGTGTGGTTACCTTAGGGAAATACCTCCTTGTCAACAATAAAAATAAAGTTAAGAATTTCTCATCTCACTTTTACAGACATGTGATTGGTGACAGCAATGTACCCTGGTAGCAGTTGCAGCTTTGCAGAATCTATTTAGAAAATAGTTTACACCAAGTATGCACAGCACATAACTATTTCATCTGAAATTGCTTTCTGTGGGGAAAGGTGGCAGATCTTTATGCATGGTTATTGTGGATTAACAGTAGATATTTCAGTTTGGGCTTGTCACCAGCTGGAATAAATCTTGTGACATTCTGTGTGTCCTGTGCCACTGTGATTTTTAGACCAGTCCATGAGACTGGGGTTTGGTGTCTCTGAGTTTTTAAGACAGAACTAGCTTTCTGGAGATACGGCATTCAGCTTAGGTTCGTAGAAATCTTCAATTAAAAATCAGTGCTGGTCTCAAGATACCACCATGACTACTAACTGTGCCTCAACGTTCCTTCCTTTTCCTTTCCTCTACCTATGTTGGTACTGCTCACTGACAACTGGAACTACCTCAGGCGTGTTCCTGGTGACCTACCATAAGTCTTCCCTGAGATCACATTAACGTGAAAGGGAGACAAGGTTTGGAAGCATGGTTCCTGGATTCCTGTTTTTACTGCAACATGTTCAAGTATGCTTAGACATGTTGCAATATCAGTTGCAGAGGCTAAGAGGACAGTGGGATGGCTCAGCTCTCTCACAATCTGTGGAATGATTCTTATTGAAAAATAACAATGGCTAGCTTAAGAGCTGACCCCTTGAATTAAAAAAAAGATGGGTTATCATGGAACTATTGGAACAATATGTCCAACATGACATTGCTACCTACGGGAAACCAGTGGCTTGCTATTTCTAAGGCTGTGATCTGTGCTTTACTGAGCCTCCTACTTGACCCCAGGATACTGCTTTCCATAATCATTGTTTTTGGAGAATTTGAACTAGGACAGATTGGAGGCATTAGATTGCAAACAGAAAAGGACCAGTGAGAAGATTTAAAGCTTTGCTCCTCAAACTCAGTTCCCTAGGATTATCAGCCTTCAGCAAATCCTGCATTTTGGTTTCACCTGTTTTCTCCACATTGTAAGGATTAAGAGTTGGCTTTTAACAAGTTAGATAATGGATACCTTTAGGATTCTGCACCAGATTCTGAATCCTGTACTTGTCCAACAGACATATAGAATTTGAATAGCCAAATTTTTATCCTTAATTTTCTCCCACATAGGAATGATGGACAACCCAAAGTAGTCAGCATCTCTGCAAAAATTAGGGCATTCAAATGTTTAAGAACATTCAAGAAAGCTTATGCACAAGATACCATTTTTGTTTCACTTGCTTTCTGCTGAATTTTATGTATGCAAATGTTTGTTGCAAAAGGGAGTTCTCATCCCAGAAGCTTTAAAAGAGCAGACTTCTGAGCATTTACAGGGGGGAAAATGAAAAATAGATATGTATGCTTAAATTTATTTTCCTGCCGAACAAAAATAACTGCTCCCCTAATGCTTTGAAGATGGTTGACAGCATAAACCAGTTCAAATGTTCAGTCAGGTTGTTCAGCTAGTGGTATAAATATCTCACATATGAAGGAGTGACACACAAAGAACCTGAATCTATTTATATTGATAATTCAGTATTTTATAGGCAAAGCGATATGCAAAATAGATGTATTCATTATTCCTTTTGAATGCTAAATTGTTTGTAAAGCAAGCACATATTTATCCAAATTTGAGGGCTTATCTTAGTCTGGGGGCTTAGATTTTAACCATGGATTCACTGGTTATCTAACCTGAATCAGCCTTTCAGTCTTCGTGGTTCAACTGTTAATAGGGATGAAAGTATTACACAATAATTTCTGATTTCTGGATGCAAAGATGTTGGGCCCTTGGCTAATCAGATAGGTGTTTCAGTGTTCTGATAAATTATGGAGCTAGCTTCATGAGCCCAGTGGCAACAAGAAATGACTTTCTGGAAGGAGTTCTTCAGATAAGTGACTGAGAGCCTATACAATGAAGTATTTAATGGTTTTAACCAGGATACGTTGGGTTTAAGCCAAGATACTTCTTTTGGTGGCAGACGCAACCCATCATGCCACACCACAATCAAACCATGAACTCTCTCTGATTAACCATAGTTTTCTGTTTCTTCCTAGGGTTACCAGCTTTGGAACAAGCTCAGCGATTAAACTGTGTTTTCTAACCATTTTAATATCTTGGCTTCTTCTGAATCTGGCTTACATGAAAGGAATATTGAAGGGGCCCGTGCCATAATAAGTGGAGATAGAATCATTCAGACTGGGCCATTGAGCACCAACAGCCAGTTAATTTATTTTTCCTTAGGTATAAAAGAGGAAGACACTGTGCAGTAACTGCTACAACTTAATACCATTTTTTATTGATTCCAAGTTCAAGCCATTCCCTATCCAGTCTCTAAAAAATAATTAATGTGATTTGTCGGTGCACCTATTTAGATAACCAGACAATTTTGATATCTGTAATTTTGACATGTCAAACTGTCAGAAACTTGAATCCATCATTTTATTAGAGAGAACTTTTTAAAGAAAAAATAAACTGATTTATATCTTTGTTCTATAAAAACAAATTTAATCTTTTATTCCTTTGTCTTCCAACTCTCTACAGTTTTGACAGGTTTACCCTCCATTTGATACTAAAAGCATTAAACCTTTACTTTTTCACGTAAAATATGTGCAGAACTGTAATTTCTCCTCTTATTGCTTACTAGCAAAATGTACCCAGTGTTGTATGAATTGGCATAGCCTTTCATTTGAGAGGGTGATGCCTTTAAACAAACTTACACAGCTGACAGACTTGAATGCATTTTGCTTGCCCTGTTTCAGTGAAGGTATGCCTGCTGGCACGCTTGGCATGGTACATCCTAGCTCCTCCTCCCCTGGGAGAAATCCATCCACTCCATTACCCTGGGTGGGTAGGCTGCCTCACAGCAGCGGGTGGGGTAGGCACATAGTTGTGTCCCTTGGAAGCTAAGCTCCCCTGGCTTCCAACTAAATGGACAAAGTAGGAAAGTGTGCCTCCACGTTTAACACTATCAGACGATTGGCCCTTCTGGCTCAATATCTTTGTCTGATTGGTCATAGTTCTGCTGAATGTGAGACACTAGTCTTATCCAACCCTTCCTGGAGATGCCAGGGATTGAGGATGGGGCCTTGTGTATATAAGGTTCTGCCCCTCAGCTGTGGTCCTTCCCATAATGGGAAGGCCCTTACTTCAGCACTGCACTCCAGGATTTGTCTTATTGCTATGTGCAGTGTGTGAGGATGGCAAAGGGCAAAGGCGAGAGCTTGTTTATTTTGCAAACATTTATTCATTAAAATAATTATGAACATTCTAAGACATCACAGCTAGCTCAGTCAATCAGTGCCAAATGCTTTACTGCATGTGTAGTAGATTCCAGTTAGATGCTGGCTATCTTACATAAAGCCAGCTCATGTAATACTATAAAAAACTAAAATATTTATTGAAATCAGTTCCCTCACTAAGCAACATCTGTTCATTTTCTTAGTTTACTGTAATTGTAATTGTAAGTTAAAGTTTTCAAGTTAAATTTTATAAACTATAATGTAAGTTCCAAGTTTATAAGTTTTAAAATTTTGTAATTCCCAAAGATATTTGACCTGCTATTAACATAGCAATAATGGTAATGCCAGGGTCAGGAACATTCTTTGCCTGGAATGTTATTATTTTCAGCTTAGCAGGAAAAATGTATATATAGAATCATGAGTTCATATTTTGCATGAAAAGACTGCAGACTCAAACACACTCCTAGATTTCACTTTAATCTATATGTTGCTGCCTCTAAGAAGAAAGAGAATCATACTAAGGTTTAGTTTGGACATACATTCACAGATTGCCAAAAGCATAATTTAAGAAGCATGGAACAAATGTTGGAACCTTTCACTTTCATTTGCCACCTTCATTCACTGGCATATTGATCCTGGTTAATGTAAGCATTCCCGTATTCTAGAACTGTTGTTTAATGTTAGCTTATTAACCAAAATCTTAGATGAGAATCTGATTTTAAACTATGGTTTAGCCAAATAGGATTTGTGTCTTCTTAAAGGTAACATCTAAAAAGAATGCCCTTTACTCAGCTTAGTGATGTTATGAGGCATGCAGCTGGAATGCCCTCTTTCTTCAGGACAGAGGTGCATCTGGGAAGAGTGTGTGATTTCTTTCTAGCTACGCTACATGCACATTTCTATGTGTTGCTACCACTTGATTGTAAATC